CTGGGCAAAGCGCAGGATGAAATCCTTCACACAGTCTGCAGGACACCCTGCTACACACACGGCCAGATGGGCACACGTGCACACACACGTGCACACACACATTATCAAGTGCAGCGGAAGTGACAGGGATTGGGTGCCACAGAAGCCTGGGTGGGTCATGGTTTTGAAGAGAGCAGAGGACAGCTTCGGGCTCCTGGGCAGTGGAGGCAGAGCTGCTGCCCCAGCCCTGTCAGCCCCGGGGTCCGGGTCTGGGGGTCAGTCCTTGCACCTGGCTGACGTGGGCCCCACCCACAGTGCACCAGGGGGCCGGGTCCTGCCAGGGTCCAGTCCCCTTGGTCCCAGCAGCCGCCCCGCCTGCCCTTCTCCTTCCGCTCATTCTCTTTCCCTCTGCATCACTTCTCCTCCCCCGGCCGACCCCCCCACCCCAGCCTTGGTGATAAAAGAGCCAGATTGGCGCGGGTGCCACGCAGCTTCATTCCCCACCATATGGGCCCAAAAGCCAAATTGTCAGCTAAGCGATTAAATCAAGTATGTCGAACAAAATGTTATGAACTGACATTATGGGTATATAATTTTATGCCATTTGTTGCCATCTGTTTATCTAAACAGCCCCCGTTCCACACAGACACACAGACTCACACCTTCCCTCCTGCCCTCCACCCACAGGACCCCCCCACCCCAGCCAGGGCCAGGGACCGGGGCAAGAAGATGTGCCCAGAAGCCAAAGAACAAGGGCTTCTGGGGTCCCTGGGAATCCGAAAGAATGGAGGGCAAGAGTCCCAGGAGCTGAGGAGAGGACCGCAGGGGGCGGGAGGTGAAGGCGTCGGAAGCCGGAGTGTAACGACTGCGGCAGGCGGCGCAGGCCGTGGACCGGAGCCAGGGGCCTCCCTGGCAGGCCTCCAGCCTGGCGCGTGTCATGTGCGTGCCTGTGTGTGACGGGGGCAGGCGCGAGAGCGGCAGCTGTGCACGGCGTGGATGTGGCCGTCCCTCAGCCCACCAGCGCAGGTCCAGAGGCTCTGGGTGGATTTGCCCACCTCTCTCAGCACGATGCCACAGGGCAGGGGCCCTACGAAGCCCAGGGGCTGGGGACACCCACGTCCCTCAGCCTCCAACAACTTAGGTCTGAATGGCCCCTGCGTGGTCACCAGGCCTGGTGAGCATACCCATGGTCTCCCTGCGGGTGCTCAGCTGTCCCACTCCTCCGGCCTCCCACTGCCGGCCTCCACCTGTGCCCGTGTCTTTCACTCACCCCCTCACCACGGTGCCTGCCAGTCTCACCTGGGTCGCTGTCTGTCCTTCCTGTCACCCCAACCTCCCTGTCTGCCTGTGGCGCCCTCTGACTCTCCTAAGCAAAGGCTTGGGCCTGGGGCTATTCAGATGGAGCGGGTTCTCCACAGATGGGGCAGGTCCAAGCCGGGGTGAGGAGCTGGCCAGGGACAGGGAGAGAGAGGGCGGGCAGCAGGTAATCTGGGGTGCAGACAGCCTGGCGCTGCTCCAGGAGCAGGGAGGGGAAGGGGACAGCGGGCATCCCCTGGAGGAGGGCCCAGAGGATGAGGGGCAGGAAGGCCCGCTGAAGGGCTCCTGCGGAAGACCGCAGCAGCCTCTTGCAGGCTGATTAAACCTACCTGAACACACTCAGAGAGGCAGGTCCCAGGCACACACCTGTGCTCGCTCACACAGGCACACCTGCCACACACCCACCACCCGGTCCCACTGATGCCATCCGGATCACACCTCAAGTTCACCTTACGCCTCCCGGTCAGGGCCAGGCATCACGGCCCCTTCTGTTTCCCTGGGTGTGTGCACACAGTGTGCCCAGGCCAGGGCTCACCCCCCACGGCGGCCAGCCACATACCCACATCCTTGGGGAGAGATGGAGCTGCAGAGAGGAGACGGCAGGGAGTGACAGAAACCCAAGCGGGGGCAGAGACGGCCAGAGAGAGGCCAGGAGACAGAGACACGGGAAGGGCCAGCAGAAGACAGAGACAAAGAGAGCACTTGGGGGCCGACGGGCCACAAGAGGCTGCAGGGTGCTCTGCGGGCGGCGGCGGGCGGGCGGGCGGGGTGCCGGGTCGGGGAGAGCCGGGCAGGCGGGTGGTGGCAGCGGCTGAGGCTGAAAAGCTCATTTTGCTAGTAATTTACTCTCCTGCTTTTGGGCCGCTCCGCCTGCCGCTGCTGCCCGCCCGGGCTGCCTGTTCCAATATTAGATATAAACAAGTAAACTGTGTAATGGATCACATTAAGCAGGCCTTGCGTCTTGAGGCAGGATTTAATTTGCATGGCAGATTAGCTTGTCTTCCCAGCAAGGCACCCCGGGGCACCCCAAGCTGTAATAGGATCCCGCCTCTTAGAGCCCATTAAGGCAATTGAGAGGCCTCCTAATCTCCCTCCCCGCCCTGTGCCAGAATCCCCCCTGCCAGACTGGGAGGGACCTGGGACAACTGGACCCCACCTCTGACCCTGGGCTCAGGACCCACCTCGCCCCACAGTGTGCAGGGCGCCTGCTTCCCACCTCTCGCCCAGGCACGGGACCTCAGAAAACCCTCCCTCTGCACCCTCAATCCATCTGAACCCTCAGATGTCTTCAGACCGCTTCCTCCTCCCAGACTCCAGGCAGTGCTACCCCCAGCTTCCTCTCTTCCCGCACGCACGGCTCCCCGAAACCCTTACTGGGCAGTGGGCTGCGAGCCCAGGCCAAGGGTCAGGATGTGTCCCCTGGCGTCCTTCAGTTTTCCATGCATGGAGCCCCCAGCACTGCGCAGGTCACGGTCCAGGTGCAAAGGGGAGCAGAACTGCAGCCCACCTGGAGATCAGCGCTCATGCTCAATTCGGTTTGGGGGGTAGTGTGTGGTTACGATGGCCCGCGTGGGGTGCCTGGCTTGTAAGTTATATGCTTATGAAGACATCAACCCTCAGGGCAGCGATTTTAAATTAGTCCCACCATGAACATAAGGAAACTGAGGCTCAGAGAGGAGAAATGACTTACTCGGCGTCACACAACTGGCCAGCAGCAGCTCCGGGACCCAGCGCAGGCCCACTGCCTTCCCAATCTACCGTGGTATGGGTGCGCTGGGGTCCAAAGAGGAACGGGGCTGTCTGGGCTGAGGGCCACTGCAGGGTCTGCATCAGGGTCGCTCAGGGCTCTATCCAGCCCTGCCCCTGCCCGTGGCCTGGGTGAGCAGAGCCCAGGCCATGGCACTGCTCCTGAACAGACCCACCGGACGCTCGTGACAAGGACAAGCGCCACAGGCCAATGGCATTAGGCGGGGGTGGTCGGGCTGGACTGGGAGGATTCCCGTCCACGGAACACCCAGTGGGCTCCCTCGGGGTCGGAGTCAAGGCCCGGAGCTGCACTGGGCTGGGCCTGGCCGGGGCGAGGCAGAGGGGCCCCACGGGTGGGAAGCAGCCAGGCCGGTGGTGCAGTCGGCCAGCCTTGGTGGCTCACAAAGGGCCCTTGTTGTGGGTAATGGGACTCCCCCGGCAGCTTTATTTGCTGTCAGTGGCTTTTATTAAAGTCTCCAGTTTCAGACCCGCCAACCTTCCGCCATTGTGTGAGCTCCCCTGGGCCCTGCCCCCAACCCGGCCAGGCTAACTCTAAAGGGCCCCCCGCCCTGTCTCCTGGGCCCCAAGACCCCAGCCTTCCACCTCCATCTCCCCGAGGGAGGGGGTAGCTCGGGCTTGGCCCCCGACACCCAAAGGAGCCCTAATCTCCCAGATGTTGCGGCTGGCGCTGAGGGAAGGTGCGTCAGCCTGGGCAGGACTCACAGAGCAGCACACGGACATGTGTGCCCACCGTGTGCTGAGGGGTGTGCGCCCCTCTGCTCCTCAAGCCCAGGTCTGACATAGACGACTGCATTGTACCTGTACAGTTTGGGCCCATAAACACTCAGGGACACTGTCCCCTCCTTCCTGGCACCAGGTCAGAGCTGGGGTCGGACAATCTCTCCTCCCGTGGGCAGGGAGAGGGCTTGCCATGGAGGAAGGAGGTGAGAGAACAGGGCTGAGACCTCAGCCACATTGAACACCAGCTGGGGTTTGACCTCGCTTCACCCACATCCAGGTCCCCCACAGCCCGGAGCCCCAGAGCCCGAGTTCACAGCTCAGAGCCCCAGCAGCTGAGAGAGAGCTCCAGGACAGGGAGGAAAGGTCCAGGCCAGGCCCTTGAGCACCACCCCAGAAGCAGAAGTCTGGGATGCGTGGGCACTTGATCCCAGGCGACCCCCACTGAGTCAGGAAAACGGGAGGACATGGGGGAAGGCCCAGACTGCAGCGGGTATTGAAGAGCCTAAGGCCTAGTCTATGGCCTCTATGCGGTCCCCATACACACACACACACACACACACACACACACACTCTCTCTCTCTGGCACACTCATGCCCACTCTCACACACTCACATGCACTCACTCTCACACACACACCCGTGGAGGAAGCGGGGAGAGGCAGCTGTTTCCCTCAGCTCCCCACCTACGTGAGATCTGAGGCAGGCATAGTTCATGGCCCGTGATGGTCTGTGCCGTGGGACACGGGGCATTTGCACACGTATGTGCACATGTGTGTATGCACACTGCGTGGGGGTGCTGGGCACCACGCCACGCGAGGTGACTATTTAGAATCAGGCAGGGAACCAACTTGCACATCTGTCTCTCTTCTGGGGGCGCTGCTCCATGGGAAGTAGCTCCGCATGTTTACATGGACGAAGGCGTGTGTGTGTGTGTGTGTGTGTGTGTGTGTGTGTGTGTGTGCAGGAGAGGGCTACATGTGCTTGCTGTGCGGTGCCGGCCCTGCATATGTGCAGTGTGCAAAACAGGGGAGGTCCAGGGCGCACAGCGCTCCCCGGGCCCTCCTCGCCCCTGGCTGGGCCTGTGCCAGGCCATTTGGGGAGTGCCCGTGCGTTATGGTGTGCGGGTGAAAAATGGAAATGCTAATAAGCAGTCGTTAAGCTGCCTTGCAAAAATGTTACATGATAAATTGGGTGATGTTATTGTAGAAATGAAATATGTAGAATAAATGAGTTATTTATTTCTAATAAATATTTTGTTTACGATATGTTTGTAGGGGTGTTAATTATTTTCCCCCTCAATCGGGGCAGCGTATAAATTCTAATAAAGTGCAGGCTGTGCTGATGGCAGCAGTGGCTCCTCCAGGCCGGGGCCCAGGCCAGGCACCGCAGTCACAGCGATTGTTCTGTCCCAACCTTCACTCTCCATATGTGGCCTGCTTTCTATGAAAAGATAAAAGAGGCGAGGAGGGAAGGAAGGAGAAGGAACGAAAAGGAAGGAAAGAAGGAAAGAAAGAAAAAAGAAAAGCAAGTCAGGGAAAAAACCAAACAGGCGAGTCTCTGTGACGGCTGATGGACCATCCTCGGGCCAGGTCTTGCTCCCAAGCTAGCCACCAGGCCCCAGATGCGTCCATCGCTGTGGGAACCAGCTTCAAGGAGGAAGAAATAAATATACAAGCAAACAAAGCCAAGCCGAGCGGCCTGGTTCCCCAGACCCCCCAGCGCACCGAGCACCGCACCGCTTGGCGCAGGGCTCCTCCTGTACTTCCTGCCCCGCTGGGTATCCAGATGCCCCGCCCCTCTGCTTCCATCTCTGCCCAACCCAACCTTCCTCCTCCTCCTTCCTTCCAGGAAAGCCTCGCTGCCCTGGGCCCGCCTCCTCCTCCACCCTTTCCCCTCTGTGCAGCACCTCCAGGACTGTCCTGGTCTCCCCACTTCAGGATCCACCTGACCAGAGACTGGGCTGGCTGCCCTGGCCCTGAGGCTGGAGTACAGGAACACTCTCCTCAGGACAGGCTGCCTCCCTGCAGGGTGTTATCTCCCCATGGGTCATAAAACTGCTGAGGCAGGACGGCCTGGTGGGCAGGGAAGGCAGAGCCACTCTGTCCCTGCCCCAGGGCCGCCCAGCCCTTCCTCCAGCCCTGCTTACCCAGCGCCCCTGGCCAAGTGGCACCCCATCTTCACTGCTTTCACCTTTCTTCCAGCTGGAAGCCACGGTGGGAGCTGGGCAGATTCAGATGTTCCCGTGGTCCCTTAGAGTTGGGGTGGGAGAGCCGTGCAGGAGGAGCAACAGCATGGGCCAACAGACACACAGGACGCACACACTGCGCCCACGACGGCCACGCGGACCCACGGGGGTGTGGGCTGTGCATGTCCAGTGGTGAAGCCCTGGTCCAGCCGGTCACGGTCCCGCAAAGGCCAGCACCGCACAACTGCGCTTCTGGGAGAGTTCGAGTCAGGTCCAGGAGCTGTGAGGAAGGGTGACGAGACAAAATGTGACATGAAATCATTGCCCATCTGTGGGGCTTTGATGAGGTGGAGGGAGGGGCATCAACACTGGGGGGAGGGCGCCCTCTGCTGGACAGAGCGGCTGCTACTCCCCCCCACACCCCAGCCTGCACCAACCCACCCGGAGGGCTCCTACCAAGACATCCTTTGGCCCTCGCTCAGCCAGCACACTCGGGGCCAGGCCAGCCAGGCCAGAGAGCTCTGAATTCTTCTCTAAGCATGTAAAATCTTTGATCATCATTTGTTTAAACTGTATAAATAATCCAGCAGGTTCTAATAGGGTTTCTCTCTGAATCGGCAACAAAGCATGAAATGTGGTATTTTCACCATGAGTAGCTGGGAAATTAGTCACCTCTGTTCGTGGCTCCCTGCTGGCTGGAGACCCCCGTGCGGTCTGGTCCCTCCCTCCCCTGCCCTTCCGCTGCCACCCCACAGCCCCTGCATCTTGGGTACCGGGTAACGGGGAGAATGCTGCAGCACCTCTTAGAGGACCCCCGCTGGCCATCACTGGGTCTGAGAGTGAAGGTCGGCCTGCTCTGGGCCTGCTCCCCAGAGTCCTCATCCGAGGGCAGGGCCTCCGGCTCTGAGCCCCATCGCCGCCTCGGGGCAGCTGGGCTGGGCTTCAGATGAGTGGTGTTTAGCGATAGCTGTTTGGGGCACCGAGTTGAGGTCATTCAGTTTTCCCCCACCTCCCCAAAAGTTGTCCAACACTTGCTCACCCTCCACGCTGTCACAGCCCCACATGCTGTCTGTCACACACTCACCCCAGACCCCACTCCAGGGGCCAGGGCTCTCGCCCGAGGCTGACAAGCTGCCCACCAGGCTGGGGATGGAAGATGTGTAGTCTGAGAGTAACCACTGCTGGGAACAAGAAGGAGCCAGAGACAGCGGAATCAAGAGGGGACGAGCCGCCTCAGAGGTGAGCTTCCGGGAGGGAGCCAGGCGGGTGGCAGTGCCACGGACGGGGCAGCAACTGTCCAAATATGAGGGGAGACTCGGTCTTCCTTCCAAGTGACCCTGAACCCAACTGCAAGGGCCGCAGCCAGAAGCTGCATCCTGCACCTCAGTACAGTGGGGCGGAGCCAGCAGACCTCGGGCCGAGCCCAGAGCAGGGCTGCCCCAGCCCGAAACCAGCTTGGCTGAAGCCGGGAGGCCAGGCCCCGAAGCCGGGCATGGGCCGCGGGGGAGGGGTGTGGGGTCCGTCCACGTGCTTGGGACTGAGCAGGGCCCCTTTCCTTTCTGCCCCCTGCCCCTGGCCCTCGATGAATAAAACTCAGGGGGTGGGGGGACTATTCATGGGACCAGAGAATGTGTGAGCTGCCCACAGCCCCTTCTCATTAGGGGACCCCCGTCAGGTGGCGCTCATTAACTTCAAGTTGTCTCTTGTTTTAAAAGTTGGGGAGGGAGGCAGGGTGGAGGGGCACATTGTCTGGCCGCTGCCCCGGAGAGATTAGGCGCCCAGGAGGAGGGGGCAGGCAAAGGCTCTTTAATTAGTTACTTTCAAAGGTTCCCCGTCCCCTTTCTCTGGGTCCGCCTTACCCCCGGCTGGGCCCAGCTTCGAGGGGGGCGGTCTTTTCTGCTTGGCAGAGCTGCCTGGTCACTAGGCTTAAATCCAAAGCCTTTGTTCCCGCCTGGACAATGGGCCCAGCGCATCAGCTATGGAGGACACAGAAGCAGCAGGGCCTTCTCCTGTGAGGCCTGGAGCCAGCCAAGGCGGGCCCATCCTGGCCAAGCGCAGCCAGGAGCCCCAGCCAGGACCTCGGCATCATGGGCCTGGTCTAGGCTGAAAGGACGAGGACCCAGGCTCAGACACACATCTGCCTCAAGACCGAGTCTGGCAGCAGGAAAGAGAAGGCCATCTCCTCGCAGGCCCTCACCACCAGGGAGGCTTGAGGGGGCTACGCAGAAGCTGGCGTGAGGACAGAGGTCCTCTCCCTTGCTAGAAGAAGAACGGCTTATAAGTCAGGCAGATCTGAGTCACTGACAAGTGATTCATCTCTCCAGCCTCCATTTTCCCATCTCTGAAGTGGGGGAATAACACCTGCCTCTGGAGTTCTATGGTAAGCACCTGACACGTATACGTTTCTTCCTCGTGTGACCACACATGTTCTGGTGCTAAAGAGCGGCTGCACAGGACCAGTTCCGCTCTGGCGTCCAGGGGCAGGTAAGGACTGGCCTCCAGTCACACAGAGCGCTGGGACACACACACACACACACACACACACACACACACACACACACGAGAGACTGGGAATCAGTGAGTGTGCCAACACCAGCCAAGGGGGCTCTCACACTAGGGCTGACAAGATAAGGGGGGCGTTGAACAAAATGGGTAAATGGAGAAAGGGAGAGTAAGCCACCCACCCCGGGGCCTCGGGGAGCCGTGAGAAGCTGGCTTGGGGGGGAGTCAGTGGTTTGCCTGGGTCAGCAGATTAATGGCACTAACGAAGTTCCAGCGAGCACGGTGAGTTGGGGGCCCGGGGCGTCCATGTGGAAAGGCACATGACTAGGGATTGATCAGGCTGAAGATGAGACAGAGAGCTCCCCGGGCGGGCGGCGGAGGTAGGAAACGCCAAAACCAATTACTCCCGGCCCCTCTGGCCTCCAGGTCCCTCCCCCAGGGAGCAGAGAAGGGGCTGTGACCTCTCTGTGGGCGTAAGCCCCCCCAGGCGCACGCCGAGACACCACTCACGTGGCCGGTGACACCCTGGGGGCCCAGGGAAGATCCACTTGTGAGCACGGGCCCTGCGGTGCTGCGAGCTTTGGTTGCATGGTTTTCCCCTCGTGGGAGAGTGGACTCCGCGTGGATCCCTCACATCACCAAGCACAGGCATCACCGGGCAGAACCAGGGCCCAGGAGTGGCCGCAGAAGCTGCAGGAGCAGGGGAGCCCCTGAGAGTCCATTCAGTTTCAGCCTTGAGTTTTGCCTCCACAAATTTGCCAGTTGGGGCTCAATCCTAAATCCTGGTCAGAACATCCCTGTGGTACCATTTAGCTGATTAATTCTCCATGACAGCACTTGACAACTTATCAACCTCCAGTTAAAGGGAGTGTACCCCAGTTTTGGAAAAGCCCCCCTTCCAGGAATAATCAGTGACACATAGGTTCCTTTTAACAGTCTGTGATGTTTGTTGAATGAATAAGTGTGGCAGATTGGGAGCCCTTTCCAGCTTAAAGAAGTCACAAAGGATATCAAAGAACCAGATCAAAGGCCAGGCAAACATCCTTCACAGGGCCCAGCGAAGCCTGTGGTTAAAAATCAACAGTTTAGAGGTGATCACCCGCAAGATAAGGGCCCTTCAGGCCTGCAAGGGCTTGGGGTGTGATGGTAGGTGGGCTGCGCTTGGCTCCCTTCCAGGCTCGGCGAGGGCTGTGGCCGTTTGTACTCCAGACCTCGTACGGGATTTGTGTTCGGTGCCATATGCTGAGTGGTGTTATTACAGTTATTAGCAATCATGTTTTATCATGAAATTGCTTTTCCTTTAAACATGTGAGTAAAAACACTGGCTGTTCTTGCCACTAGTTCTGCCCAGTTTATTCCTCTTGGAAATTGCGTCCAGGGTTACAGTGCAGCCGACGGCAACCTGGGCTGGAAGCCCTGGAGACGCTGAGCTGCTGCCATGCAGCCAAGGCCCCTGTGCTCATCCTCCGTGGGTCATGCCCCAGGAGCACCGACAGCCAGCAGCCCTCCCCAGGGTCTTCGCCTGACCCCAGCCTCCAGCCTCCCCCGTATGCTCCTGGGGCTCCTGACCCAAGGATGGCTCCCTGTCCCCTGCCCCCACCCGCACCCTGTGCCCCGCCACAGTGTCTACGGGAGACCCGGCTCCTCTGGAGGCCTGCAAGCTTTTGTCAGTGTTATGTGAGCCGCGAGGGACAAGGGCCCTGAAACCCAACTCGACCAAACTCATAAAAGGGGTCACTGTCTCTTTAATTAAAGTCCCCTGTTTGGAGGTTAAAGACAGACCCGTTTGAAGGTGCAGGTGTGTGGGGGCGGGGAGCAGGGTGGAAGGGGCAGGAGGGAAATGGAATCCTATCCTGGGGGGGAGCAGGGGGAGGCTGGGGGGACAGACCTCCCCCCGGCTGATGGTGGAAGGGGCTGAGGGGAGCCCTGAGGGTCCCTAGCCTGAGGGCAACAGGCCCGCAGGAGCAGGCAGCCCCAGGGCCCCGCAGTTCCCTCTGCCCCCACAAGCCGCCACTCCAGCCTGCGCACTGCTGCCCTCGGCCTCCCCGCCCAACCTTATGCCCTACTGGCCACTGGCCTTGTCCACTCCCGGGCGCCTCTCACATCCCAAAAGGTCTCCATGCGGTGAGGGGTCCAGGGCCTCATCTCATCTCCGCACAGAAGCGACTTCATCACAGTTTAACATAAAAAGATCAGCGGGTATCGACCCGTCCTTTGGACCCATGCCACGCTATTGGCAGGAAGACAGAATAAGTTAGGGTGGCCATGTTTCAAAAATTCTCCGTGTGCACTCAGTCACGGCCCGGGAAGGCGGGTGCTGTGCAATAAGCCAGTTGTGCTCTCCATTTCCCCGTAGATCAATGCTAATACCAGGAGGCCTGCAAGATGGATGGAACCGACAGGAGCCTTGAAACCCTGACGCGGGGCTGGGGCCTCGGCCGATAAAGGATTTTGCTGCTGCTGGGGCAGGGACACAGACACTGGGGGCTGCAGGAAGCAGGCTGGCGGGCACGGAGGAGGAGCAGGGCGGCCCCCACTGCCACCCCAGAGCTCACAAGGCCCCTCCCACACACATGGCCCTCCCAGAGCACCAACATGTGTGAGCTGTCACTCACACATGTGCACACACACTGCCCACCCTGACCCCAGAGACAAGGGCTCGGCCATCGGCGCGTGGCCTATGAGGTGCAGACTCTCTGAGGAGCGGGCCCCACGCAGATGCCCAGCCCCGCCTCTCCCCGCGTCCTGCCCCTGCCTCTGTCCAGAGCCTCA